GTAGCAGAATGTTTTGACATGAAAAGAGGAGAAACACTCACCTTTTCCCAAATTAAGTTTACATTGAAGTCAAATATGTATTCTTTTTTTTTAAAGATTTTATTTATTTATTTGACAGACAGAGATCACAAGTAGGCAGAGAGGCCGGCAGAGAGAGAGGGGGAAGCAGGCTCCCCGCTGAGCAGAGAGCCCAATGCGGGGCTTGATCCCAGGATCGTGAGATCATGACCTGAGCCGAAGGCAGAGGCTTTAACCCACTGAGCCACCCAGGCGCCCCTCAAATATGTACTTTTGACAGCCAGGTGACCTCTGTCTTTCAATGGTGTCATTATGGTATGGTAAGATTCAAAAAACATTTCAGTGTTTCAATCACAGTGTCAGAAGATGGGCCGTGTCCAGGAAAGAGAAAGGACTAGTTCGGAACCTGAGCTGACCACAGAAAATCAGAGGTTAATTCCTCCTTTATTCTTTGAAACGATTTCCGAGCATTTGTTTTGTAGCTTCTAATTAGTAAGACAAATATGACACTATTTCTAGGGATTGCCAAAGAAATGTGTTGTGGTTAATGCCTTTCCCCAGTTCCCACCCTGAGAACAAAGGTAAGAGGAGTAACAAGGCCATGGCACCATTGTAGGGCTGATGCGCTTCAGAAGCTGGACTCCCTCCACAACGTTATTAAAGTTCTCTGAAGCGTTGCTACTAAGAAAAAAATGTCAAAAGAACTCATGTTGTTTATTGTTTCTCAAACCTGCTGCTATTCCAGTTTGCACCCAGGCGAACCTGCCCATTTTACTTTGGAACCCACTGGCACCACCACAGGTAATAAAAACTTGATTCCAAACTTTAGTGAATCTGAAAAGGAGACCAGTGATTGTAAAATAATTAACAGTCTATAAAGAAGCAGATCCCCAAGTTGTATTTTAGGGAGATGCTACGAGGTAGGCTTGCTATTTCTCTAAAATCATTAAAGCTACTGATGTCAGGGGTTTCTCCTCTAAGGCAGTGAGTGCAGAGAACAGACAGGACCAAGGCTGCAAGGGTGCAGAACGACAATAATGGCAGAAGTAATGATCAACAAATATTCAGTGACCCACGCTGGGGCTGAAGAGAGAAAAATGTGACATGGACCTCACAAATAAGTGTGTGAGGGAGGCAGCCTCAGCTGTCAGAGAATTACTTTAACCTAGTCCTGATAATAGGATGAGGTCTTCATGTTTGAGAAGTCAGACTCCCCTCTGCTTCTCTTTGAAATGTACCTGAATTCATTCAATCAAAGGGATGATGACGTTTCATGACCCAATGACTTCCTATAAATTTACACATGTTCAAGATAACTTGTAAAGGGGTAAAAATAGTAATTATTCATCTAGGTTCCTTAATTTCCAGATGTATTCATCTGAGGCTCAGATTATAGGGACTTGCTAAAACCGCGGGTGTAGAGACGCCCCTCCCTCAGGCTGCTGCCACTCCCCTCACACACTGTCACCTTACAAAGCAGAGAAGGAGGCTCGGTGCCATTCCTCCAGTTTCTAACAGCCCTATTTACAAACACAGCCTCCTCCGCACAACCAGGCTTTGGAATCTATGTCAATATTTGACTTACAGGACTAGACGGGAACCCTCAAACTGCACTTTGGACTCCAACAAATTTCTTCTTAAATGCACCATGATGCCTCGAAAGATTTAGGTAACAAACTTCCAAATTTTCAGAACAATGGTGAGATCTGAATGACCTAATGAGGCACGGCACAAATTAAAGTAGATTGACAGGGCGCCGGGGTGGCTCAGTTGGTTAAGCAATGGCTTTCAGCTCAGGTCATGATCCTGGAGTCCCAGGATCGAGTCCCGCATCGGGCTCCCTGCTCAGCGGAGACCCTCTCCCCTCTCATGCTCCCTCTCTCTCTCAATTAAAAAAAAAAAAAAAAAAAATCTTAAAATAGATCAACAATACACCATTAATTCCCAATGCTGCATCTGTACTTTTTTTTAATAATGAACAAATTCATTCATCTGTAATGCTTCACATCTGATAAGGGAAGATGATGAAAAGAAGTTGAGCTTTAAGGAAAGATAAAAACACAGCCATGCCATGTGGGAGGACAAGAAAAGAGAGAGAGAAGATGATGGAAGGCCTGGGTGATGGCTTAGAAGGCACACAGGGAGCCAAATGATGGGATCCAAAGCTCGGCCGGTCCATCTGGAAGAGTCCCTCCTGATCTCACAACTCCGTTGAGTTGGAGCCTGCCACTGATGACTGCATCAGATGTCTCTCAGTGACATTCTCCCTTCTGGTAACCAACCGTTCTGACTTTGTAACTCATCAGTGCACAATCAAGATGCAAATCCTCTGGAACCAGGATGCTGGCTTTCTGTTTCATTCCCGTATCACCAAATTGCTCACAAGCGTGTTCTACCTCCAGTCTATAGTTAACCAACGACTGATGGCAAAGACCGGCGAAGATCGTGGTTTAGCAAAACTTTACAGTTCATTCTGCAAATGAATTACTGCCACTCAACTGCATGAGTAGCTTCTAGGTTTTCATTTTTTGGGGGTGTGGGTATTGTGTTTTTTTGAGGGTTTTTTTGACTGCAGGAGTGGTGGTTCATTGGTATTAAGGCCATAGCCAAAATAGTTAAATTATGTTGAAAGCCTTCATTGTTAGACCAAGGAATATCCTAAATCATTTAAAAAATTGCCCTTTCTTATCAAGGCCCAGTCAACAGTTAAAAGCTTCAGACAACATGGAGTTACTTATTAACAAGCGCTCTTGTGGAAAGTAATGAATATCAAGGTCAAATTTATCAACAGACCCATAACTTTTAACCTTGATTCTCTTTCCTCTTTCCATGTGTTCAGAAAATGCAAATCTGGGATTTGGAAATAGTAATTGAAAAACGTTTCTCATCTGCCTAAGACTCTGTGCCCTAACTTTATGGACCACAGCTCCAGTTTGGGCCAACAACGGCTTCCCAAATGTCCCACGTGGCGAAGCCAGGTGAATGGACAGAAACGGAAACAGGGATGAGAGGACTACCATCTTCATTCCAACTAAAACCCCAGCCTTTTGCTTTCTTTTTAAACTGCCACAGCCATGTTTAACTTATAACTGCACCTTCTCAATGAGAAGAACTGTGCCTTATTATTGGAACTGGCAGGGGGCCTTGACATTTGAGTCATCATTTCATGATGCCGATTCCTTACCCTGGTATACAAATTAAACAGAAATACATGCCAGATGAAATGTAGGGGGGAAATCTGAAACCATCCCTTTAAGCTGAATTAATTTTTCTCAACTCTACAAAATATACAGAGCAATTAACATGGGTAATAATACCATCCACCTCAGGCACATTTTCAAAAATATTAACTTCAACTTCAAAGGCCAAAACTGCTCAAACCCTTCTAACCAAACACTTCATTTCTGTAAAACAGAACAGACAGCTTTAATATTCTCTAAATTACAAGACAGAATAGTTCCCCTTTTAAATCAACTGCAACTATGGGCAAAAACACACCTTTAACAGCTTTCCTCTTTTCTAAACAGCTTCAAAAGTGGGTAGCAATCGCTGAACATGTAAATATATAGAAAAATACGCACATGTGATTTAAAACTTGTGTCATCACATAGAAAAAATAACAATTCATTCAGACTAAAATATCCAAATGTGCCTAGCTGGAATTTCAGGTTTATCTGCAGATGTTCTGAAATCACTGAACATAAATGATGAAAAATGAGAAATCACAGGACCCGATCACCCTGAAGAAATGGGCATTGTTCCTAGCTCGCAAGCATTTTGTTGAAAATTTTTCCACTGAATTTCAAAATGATAAAAATCAGTTGTAACACGAATGCTATATAAAATCCTCAGAAATGTCTTGGGTCTGCTTCCAGGAGGCTTTTCCCTGGTTTACTTCGGATGGTAGGTGTTCCAGGAAATGGGATTTTTCATTCATTCATTTTAATATTCATTTTAATCATCTCTACAACTCTTCCTTTTAGCCCAAACCAGCCTGTTCATTTCCAAAAGCCAACGATTTCCCCCAGAATGCTTGGGAAGAAGCTGAATCACCTACAGGAGCTTTACTGTCCTCAATACAAAATACTGACCGGCTCCACAGAAAGCGGAACTCACATACATGCATGCATCTACTCCAGAACAGTAGCATCTTTATTGTTTACTATTATATTTCAAAGAGTAATGATTAACTTTGCTTTACATTTCATTATTTTAATGCTGACTTCTCCTAAAAAAAAATTCACCTGAGGGAACACATTTGTGTAAATGGATTTAAAATTCACCTTTTAGCTTTTCGTTTCTTTATACTTTATAACCCAGACTTTCCAAAAAGGGGCTTCCAAGAAATTCGCAATAGTTTAGTGGTCACCGTGTTCTCCACATAGCGGTCATGTTCTGAGGGAGTCTCTGTTTCAATACTAAACTCTACTTAGAAAAGAAGGCTTGAGATCGTCCCTTAGTTTCCCAACTTTTAGAAAATCCATTCTTTGGCAAACTGAGCCAAAAATAGGATATAAACCAGATGTTCCGCGATTATGAAATTTCAAGCAGAGCACATTCGAAGTGGAGCTAGCTTTTCACCCCCATTTCTTTTAGGAGAAGACAAGCAGGACCCAGGATGTGGGATTTGGTTTTACCATCTGTCTTTTTAGGTTGACTTCGAAATCGGTGAATTAGTCATGGGCTTACAGTACCAGGTTTTAGGGAGTCCTATCATTTCTGTAATTACTATGGCTGGCATTAATAAGTGTCTTCTTTTTATATGCAGAAATAAATTAATGGAAGAGGCAGACACTATGCAAAATGGCTGGGAAGAAGGCCAAACCTTTCTACATATATCCAGCCACTAGTGACTTCCGAAATGGCACTTTAAGCTCTCTTGCCTAAATAATTAGCAGGACAGCCAGCCAGCATGTAATTTACTGGAATAATTACGCACTCTTCCAGCTCCCATCGCCCAGCTCCAGCCCGTGGCCACTTACCTTATCTTTGTTCTCAGTGCCGCAAGCCTCGGGCTTGGTTCTGATCACGAAGGGGGTGGACAGGCGCAGCAGGACCCTGTCGAAGGCGGCCTGCACCCGTGGGGACACGATCTCGAAGCAGTCCTGGAACTGGAGCATTTTATGAGTGTCGCACCGCAGCTGTTTCCGCAGGCCTTCCCCCAGCTGGAGGACGGACATGTGCGGGTCAAACATCAGGTGGAACGGGAAAGCTCTGCAGAAGGTGCTGATGCTGATTCTGAGGTCCGCGGGCACGTGGGAGGAACCCTGGGGAAGGTTCTTCGGGACGTTGGTGTTTTCCCGTTCTTTGATAAGGAAGGTAAGACAGCTGCAGTTGCCGGGCGTCGAAGCGTCGGAGCCCAGCTTCTCAGCGGCCACCCGCTCCACGGCCACGTCCAGCCGGTAGATCTTCTTGGCTGCGGCCTTGATCATCCCCAGCATCGCGAACCCCACGGTGTGGTGGGGGTGGAAATAGTGCAGCATCAGGGCACTGTCGGGGAGCTCCCTGCACAGGAACGACGGCGACTCCAGCGTGGCCTGTTTTCCGAAAGAAGTTCTAATGTGTTCCAACAAGGCGTCAAAGCCGTTAAAGAAATCCTGCAAGGTCCCGCCCACAGCTCGAAGGACTCGCTCATTCTCATCAAAGCATATAGTGAAGAACTCCTCGCCAAATCTCTCTTGGATTTCCTCAAACTTCAAACCTGGAGGTAAACGGGAAGGCAATGTTAGGGAAGTCGAAGAGAATAATCAAATTTATAGCTTTTTTAATGCTTATCATAATGAGTGAGTGAGGCAAGGAGATAACGAGTGAGTGAGGCAAGAGAAGTATTGCCCTTGGGCCCACATATTCCCAAAGAGATGACTTCAGTTTGAATCAGAGAAAGTAAATTTCAATTCATCTTCTGGAGGCTTCTAAGATGTAAAGGAGCATAAACTTCGGAGTATTTTTGTTCATTTTTCAATAGTCTCATCTTTTTAGAGCAGTTTTGGATTCACAGCAAATCTGAGCAAAAAAGTATGGATATTTTCCAGAGAGCCCTCTCTGCACACACACAACTTCCCCTCCCCCCACTATCGGTCCTAGGCCCCTGTGGTACCTTTGTTACCATCCGTGAATCTACAGTGACACAGTATCATCTCCCAGAGTCCGGAGTTTACATTAGGGTTCACTCTTGGTGGTGCATACCCTTGGGTTTGGACAAATGTGTCATGATCCGTGTCTACCATGAGAGCATCAGACAAAGTAGTTTTTTTGCTCTAGAAATCCTCCGTGCTCTGCCAACTCACGCGTCCCTCCCCTCCGCCCCTCCAGCACAAACTGTCCACACATTGCTCATCAAGCCGCTCACTCTTCTTCCCAATACCGTGGTGCATTTGCTATAACTGGCACGAATAAGACCATCTTAACGATCTCTGTCTTCGTTAAAGCAACTTTTCAGAAGCAACTAGAACACTTTCTCTATTGTGCCCATGCGCTATTACTATCTTGCTTATCAAAGTTCATTTGTTAAGTAGAATATATCATTCAGAGAGGGAATTTAAGGTACCTGAGTGGGGAAAGGCATCAGATTGTCCAGTGTCAAGAGAAGGAATTAAGTCGGGCCCCGGTGAGAGAGACCCAACAAGGAACTAAAAACGGCAGGCCTGTGGGTTGACTTGCATTCTTCCACCCGTAAAAATGAGAGTAGCCAAGAGGAGAGCGGTAATCTCCCCAGGAAGAGTTAAGAGCTTTTGTTTTCTCAGTTCATACTTCCACATGTCATGGCCAAAGGAACTCTATGTTATAGCAATGGAATTATAACAAAAAATACACACACACACACATACACACACAATGCATCATGCAGAAATTAGAACCAGTCACATGTGATCCACCCTTAAGGATGATCTGAAGAAAAAAGATGAAGGGAATTTATGACCCCAAGAGGAAGTCTACAACGCATATACGAGAGTTGAGTGTGTAGGCAAAGGAATCCTCCATATGGAGTCATGCTACGGCTTCTCCTCTGACGTTGGCTGAAATCAGTACATCTAAGTTCACATATTCATATTTCTTGCCTCGTCTACTGCATCTTATGAGGAGGTCCTGAAGCTAGGGCAGGATTGGGAAAAGACACAGGTCACCTTGCTAGTGTCCCGTTCAAGTGCAGAGCAGTCTGGGTTGCCTATGGCTTGGTTTGCTGTTCCTACCTTTGTCATTTCTAGGGGTTCTCCCCACAGAAATGAGGGACAAATCAGTCAACAATAACCCTTGAAAAATAGTCAAACACATCAAATATTTTTTGAGAGAGTACTACAGAGTATAAACATTGTGATAGCCAAGTGAAGACGTCAGTTTGACAAAAAAGTTCTTAAAAGCAATGTGAAATGAAAGCAGTAGAAAATCTAAGTAAGAAAGAGTTCTTTTATTAAGAAGAATTTCACATTAAGTTTTGGTTTCATAGATCTGACATGCAAGTCCAGCTGAGAAAGTCACCCGTTGGGATAAAAATACAACCACACATCCTATGTGGTCATGGTACAAGACTGCCCTTCAGCTGTGCTGAGTTCCCTAACAGTAATGCCAGCCCAGACTGATAATAATAGGGTTCCTCTGTCCAGTCCTCCAGTGTAGAAGGAAAAAAGCCAGGTGGCTGACTCTCACTGCAATTTGGCTTCTGTTCCAACTGCTCTGATGAATCTACTTTTACAAATGCTTCAGCCAATACATGCTGTTCAATCCCTACCTTAGTTTACCTTATTTGTTATTTTTCTTTTAATTTGACTCTACTGATCATCTCATCATCCTAAGCCACCCTTCTCTCTAGGCTTCTAAAACCATGCTCTCTTGGTTTGATGACTGTCTGAAAATTCCTTCCAAAAGTATCTTCCTATGCCAAATCCTGTTATCACCATCACTGCATAACTAAAAAGTTCTAATACAAATTAAATGGATAGCTCTTCAAAAGACTATGTTCTTGGTTGCTATTAAGTTTTTTCCTTACCAAAGTCTAATTAAAACTAAATTCCAAACAAATAAAAATTCCTATAAGCTGACTATACTTGATGAACTACAGAATCCCATGTGCCACTAAAAATATTTCTTGGATTGCTTCTATTCTTTGAAGAGTTCGATCTTCAAAGGATTCAGGGTCTTTATGCACAGAAAAGGAAAAGAGAAATTCTTCTAACTTGCTTTTTTCATAACACTGAAAATGTCTTCAGAGTTATTAAAGGATATATATATATATATATACACATACATACGTAATACGGTAAGCTTATGTTCTATTTCCAATGCCAGAATCCCCCCAAATCATCCAGAAAATAACAAGTAAATCCACCAGGGGCACAAAGTAAAAACTACTCTGAGTACAGCATTCCACCAGCTAGAAATCCTCACTGTCTTACAAAGCACTTCTGTACAGGGTTGTTAATTCTTCTGTGATGACACCAAGACCTAGGAGGATGCTAGAGAGACTTGAATCAATAAAAAGAAGCTGAAATATATTGAATATTACACTCAAATCCTATATGTGGCGATTCTATAAAATCACAATCCTTGATTAACTAACAAAGAATTTTGTTCTCACAATTATGAAACTGTACAAGATCATAAAAGAAAAAACTTCTTCCAGTTGGAAACATGGAAATCTAGCAAATGATCGCTGTTACTCTTGCAAACGTCCTATAAATCAATAGCCAGAACTTACATTTCAAACCTTGCAAATATCCTCCTTACAGTAATTCACTTGACACATATAGACAATGCTCATCTTCTCCCACCAGAAAATGCTATGACAGCCTGACATTTGGGTCTATAAGAATACATTCCTCTAGGGGCAAAACTTACCAAAAAATCTGCTTTCATGAACAAGAAAGTTAGAAGTTAGAATTGTAAATTACTGTTAATCCACCTCTTTAGAAAAATGAAAAGCCTGAACGTGACATCCTTTAGCTGGAAATAATCTATTCACTGATGATATGAATCTTTTGTCCCTCATCTGCTCTCCGTCTGACTTCACACTGTGCACCTCTTAAGGACAAGGACATCATCCCCTTTCTGTCTGCATACCCATCACTAACATAATGTCTGGCACACAGACACTAAGACTTCATTCATAGAAACTAAGCTTGCCTCTCAGTGTTTGTTTGAAAATTTAATCAAGCTTTTAAATCTCCAATGTGTCACGTTTAAGGATACCTAGACGACTAGACACATTCTTTTCTGATATGAGACTCTACAGATAATTAAATCACAGTGGGGGTAGGCTGTAACAGAGGCACATGGGAATACTATGAAAGTATGCAGACAAGAATGTCTGACTCTCTCCTGTGAGAGATAATGTCTGATGGAGACTTGAAGAAAAAGCAGGTGTTCGAAAACCCAGTAATGAGGGAACAATCACATTAATGGATGGACACTAATGGAATACAGATGAGCGAGAGAAATGGAAGAGCCCAGCGTGATCAGGGAAGGGCAAACAGTAAGTGGGTAATATCCAGGGAACAGGAGTAAGGGGATGAGTTGTTACCTGATGAGCAATGTAGAGGCTGGACTGAAGGGAGCCAAGACCAGAGTCAAAGACACCACCCAGAGGGAGGCTGCAGTGTCTTTAAAAGATTATAGGAATTAGAGAAGTCCCAGTGAAAGGAGTGTTAAGCGATGTCCCGAGCATTTTCAAAGATCTCTTTACACCTTAAAAAATTCTTACCAGGTAGGTATTTTTGATTGTCCTCATTTTACACGTGAAAAATGTTAAGAAATTTCTTCCCAAGTTCTCTCAAGGTGCCTAAGTTGGTCTCAAGGTGAAGTTTGTCTAATACTACATCTTGTGAAATAAGCACAGTGTCAAAAGAGAAAAACCTCTGGGTGGGGGGTGGGAAATGCATGTCTTGCTCAACGTTGTATGATCAACGCCCAGCATTCTGCGTGAACTTTAGTAGGTGCTCAATAAATATTAGCTAGATGTTGAATGAATTAATGCATCAATGAAGTCAACAGAAGAGTTATAAGGAACAGTCAACAGTTATCAAATGCCACAGCAATGTCAAGTAAGGTAAGGACAGAAAACTGTAAATTGGATGGGTCAGCACTTTGGGGACCTTGGACAGCAATAACAGTGGAGGGGAAAGGGCAGAATACAGGGTGTGAGGGGTTAAGGAGTGGGTGGCAGGTAAAGAAATAGTATTCAGGTGAATTAATATTACTAGGATACTAAAATTACTTACTTTTAAAAACTATAATAAATCTACCTCTAGACTTGGAAAATGGTGCTTTCATTGAGAACCAAGTAAATAGCGAGAGAAGGCACCAAAGACACAGCACTGACTAGGGTCTTGGATCCTTCAGGGGAAGCTCCATCAATAAAGGAAGGTTTTTAAGTCCAGAGACCATCCTTACCACCCAACAAGGACACTGGTCCCCACTAACACAGAGAAACACCAAAGCAACAGGGGTATCCTTAAGCAGCATAAAGTTCAACCGAGGATGGGAAATGCCTGCCAATTACACGCTTCTGTGACTGGCAGACACCCCATAATTATTTTTTAATTATTTAGGCCTCATCAACCTAATATCTAAATAATGTAACTGAAGCACAACTACATCTCAAGTCCAAACTTTATAAAGAGATTTCATTACATATTAAGGAGATAATTATCTTTTTAGAGAAACAATTTTTTTCACCTCCACTCAGCTATAACTGACACGTAACACCGT